AGTCATAGCTGGAATCGAAATTTCATTCACTCTGACTTCAAAATCAGCAGCTGAAGATGATGACGATATATACGCTGATTTATACGTTGTGAAATGGTCAAGTCTGTTTGTAATGCCACTCACCATTTGCATTACCAACATTGTCGCCCTTATTATGGGGACTGCGAGGACGCTTTTTAGTGTGATTCCTCAATGGAATAAGCTTTTTGGTGGAGCTTTTTTTAGCTTTTGGGTGTTGGCTCATATGTATCCATTTATGAAAGGGCTGATGGGTAGAAGAGGAAAAGTGACGACTATAATTTATGTTTGGGCAGGGGTGTTGTCCATTACTGTTTCTTTGCTTTGGATTACTATCAGTCCCCCAGACGACCTTGGTAAAATCTAGGATTTGCAGCTTTTTATCTTAATGGTTAGTAGTTGCAACAGTGTATATTAGATTAATAGATATATTACTGGTGAGTGGCAACTATAAGTAAGGATTTTAAGATCGAGGATTTGAAAAAGTACAACTTACAAAGAATTGTGTGAATTTTTCCTAAAGAGTGCAAAATAATCATGAGCTCTTCATAGTAAACATTGCATGCCAAAACGAAGGCAAGAACGTCCCTTTTTTGTCCAAAAATTGTCTAACAACTTTCTCATCAAAAAAAAAAACTTCATTTATTAAATTATTGATTATCACTTGAGCAAATTGCAACCCATTTTACCTATAGATTTGGATAATGACCATCCTTCACCATCTATAAACAAAATCGAAGAGCATCATCTAATCTCTTTCCTTTACACAACCTCAAAATACCACAACTAAATGCATTAGGTACAACCACATTGCTCATTATTTTCTTGAAAACTCTAGTTGCATCATTGAGCTTCTGGAAAAATCCTTAGAGAACTGTAGTATATGTTACAACTTTAGGGATTATTCCACTCTCATGAAGCCTCTTTGATGGACTCAGTTTCATTTATTTTGCTTGATATCTCATTAGTATCTTCTAATGGTGGAAGTTTCTATATATCACTGATTCTTTTTCTCCTTTTGCATAGCCCTTTTCAGCATAAACTTTGCCCAATAAAGAAGCAAAGGTAAGAAAATCGGGATAATATCCAACTTCCACTATTTCATTTGGACTTTCCTTTCAGACCCACCCCGTCTTTGCTTAGATACTCTGATGTAAAATGAGCTCGTTGTCTTGAAACTAGATGATCTACATATGGCTACTATATCTTCCTTGGCAAGAATCTTGTTTCCAAGAGCGCCAAAAAGAAGCCAACCATCTCTCAATCTAGTTCTGAATCGAAATACCATAACATGGAAAACACTCCGGTTGAGATTTTTTGGGTTACTCATCATCTATGGAACTACATCTGCTGCTAACGGATCACCCTACCATCTTATGTGATAACCAAGAGGGCTCTTATTCCCATTTCTCACAAGCATGTTAAACACATTGATATTATTTCATTTGAGACTAAACATTGTTTGAGTTGCAGCCATAGTTTTCTAGTTTCCAAACTGAATTAATATATGTCACGAGTAAATTTAGGGGTTTTAAATCCAAGTATAATATATCAAAAACATTTGTTGTGGAAAAAAAATCACATTTTAAATATAAATTTCATTCTAAAAATATCATACAAATAGTTCAATTAGAACAAATTAAATGTTATTTTGGAACCTTAATTGTATTAGAACAAAGTAAATGTTATTTTGGAACCTCATTGAACTTAGAGCGCATGATTTGTATCAAAAGGTTATAGTAGTACTATTCAGTTATAGTATTACTATATTGGGTAAATGTCATTTTAGCACAATAAACTATCGTGTTTTGTCTGATTTGGTCATTATTATTATTATTTTTTTTTTGCACAATAGCTCATTAAAGTTATTTTTTACGTGTTAAATAAGGGATTCGCCCCAATACTTACCGGTTTGTATACCATGCTTAATTAGCACTAGTGACATAGAGACAATAGGGCCACATAATTGCCACGTAAGCATTTGGATTTAAAAATTAAAAATTAAAAATGTTATAACCATTTACTCTTGCTGACATCTGATTCCTCCACCGTATGGAGACAACCCCTCTTTTTTCTGTATGTAACAACTAATAAGATCAGGTGATAACTCGTCATTTTTATCTCCGACGACAACCACCGTCTGTAACCTCCAACAACCACCGTCCGTTACCACAAACCAAAGCACATGATACCAAAATCAAAATTGAAACTTCAAATACCTCATCAAAACAAAAACTAATCAAAATCAAATCCACCTCATCCTTTTCATGTCCAACAACCACCACCTGTAACCACCTCCGACAACCACCATCAGTTACCACCAAACGAAGGCAAATGAAAATTAAAACTAGATATGATAACAATTAAATTCAAACCTAATGAAATCAAAATCAAATGTGATGAAATCAAAACCAAACATGTTGGAAATAGAAAAACAATACAGTATAGGAATCGACTATGTCCTACTGATGTATGAACCAAAACTAAATCAAACGATCGATGAAAATCAAAATCTAATACCGAAACTATAACATATTTTTGGAAATCAAACGATTTCTAGTTATATGCCGATGGTGGTAGTGGATCCGATTCACAAGGTACTTGAAATGACTTTCGAACAGAGTGTCAAAAAATCAGAGGGATGATCTGATTGTTCATATGCTATTTGTGGATGCTTGTGGGCTTCAATGTTGTGTATCACCGAAAGCGGTCACCGACGGTAATGAAATAGTACGAGGGTGGGTTGGACAAGAATAGAGAAGGAGATGGTCACTAGAAATAGCCAAGGCGGCGACATCATGTCCATGGAAGATAACATATTCTCAACGGCAAAAGCTAAGGAAACGCCAACAATTTCACTTCTTCGGGAAAGCGAAGATCAGCGGCGGTCCGTTGATGGTGGTTGGCGGCAGGCTATGATGGTTAGCAATCGTCAAGTGATGGTGGGTGGCGACTATAGCTCTGTGATTTAGGGTTAACAGGTTAATATGGGTTGAGGATAAAGGGAGTAATGGGGGAATTGATTTCGATGAGTTTTACATTTATCGGTATTTATTTTAATTTTTTATTAAAAATAATAATAATAATAAAATAAGAAGCACGTGGCTTTTTTAAAATAAATATCTTAATAAATGCCAAGTCAGTAGGTGTATACTGGCTGACCGCTTCAAATCAATAAAAATGATGTGATTGATACCGAAAATGTAACTTTAATGATCTATTGTGCAAAAAAAAAAAAAAAATAGTGACCAAATCAGACAAAACACGATAGTTTATTGTGTTATAATGACATTTACCCTACTATATTTGATACTTTCGAGGTCGACTCGATTCTATTCTATTATTTAGTACGATTAATTATGTCCACACATAGAAAATGAGTAAAATGGCAAATTATCATAAGTTTTATTTTTTGAAAGCTTTATACGTCCAATGACTCAACTCAAAGTGCTAGACATTCATTCCTTTCAAAATTCTAGTCATGTGGGAACATCCGAACGATCAGTAGGCTTGGGCTCATATTCTAGAAGCAATGACTTTCGGGTCACTCCTCAACTAACTATGAATGTAAAATCATATATCGAATCGCATATAGTTTAATATAAGGGAAGATAGCTTTCCATTGAGTATGACTTAGTAATTGAAGGACTTTCTAGTATCTATATTAGTTATGTGCCTACTCTTATACACAAAAAGGGAGTTGTTCTGATAAGTGGAAAGCTACTTAAATCTTATTTAGTTTTGAGTTAAAAAAAATGGACCTTATGGTTATGTATTTTTTTTAATCAAATCTCAAGTTTTCAATTTAGACACAGCCGGGCTTTAATGTTTTTTTTTACGAGACTGGTTCCCGACATACATAAAATGACTAAATTACCCTTATTAGATTTGTTTATTCTTTTAATTTTAATTATTATTACTATTTTTTTAACAAGGGATCGATTTGGCCACTACCAAAATTCAAACACATACACACATGAAGTTAGAACCTCCATCTTCATGCTCATGATCTCTTGATACCATACCGAGAGTCTTGTATCGGAAAACACATGGATTGCAATTGGTCAAAGTTGCAATCCACGTTGCGTTTTCCACACATGTCCTATCAAGAGATTATGAGCGTGAAGATGAGGCCAACTAGTTCTTATTTTATGTGTTTGAGTTTGAATTTTGAACTTGTGATGTGTTTGAATTTCAGTGGAAACGCATCTGTTGATTAGTGGTTGTTGCAACTTCAGCAAAGGGAGAGGGTTTCAAAGAAGCGAAGTTGCAGTCAAGCAGAAGCGTAATCTTTACAAGTTGTTTCAAAGTGCAGTTTCACCTTTGGTGTCCTGAAACAAAGTCTTGTCTTTCGTGTTCTCTAGTCTTTGGTCTCTTCAAGGGCAGAGAAGCAAACTTGAGTAACTTCCATGGACACACTGTGTCCATTTTACTGAGAGAACAAGCTTCCTCATGGAGAACCTCCCGTGGGCCATATGAGCTCAACCATGAAGTTTTAGGTCAATGACACTATGAATACATTTCATTAATTGTAACCATGTTGTGTTCCGTGTCAGTCTTCATAGTATCTCTATTATTATGTTTGTGTTCGAGTTTGTTCAAGTGCTTAAAGTCCATCTCGTTATAATCTGAACACATTCTCGTGATAAAAACAAATATTAAGAACGGTATGTGCCCAAATTGAAAACTAGAGACTTGATTCAAGAAAAATAAATAACCCCGGGGACCATTTTAATAATTTACTCTTTGCTTTTCAATAAATTTATTCAACTCAATTACCTTGGGGGAGCCAACTTAATAAATATGTTTTCAACGTAAAGTTGAATTTATGTGGTTGTATCACATCTTGATGAATCTTATATAAACCAAAAATATTCATAAACCAAACTTCATCATATGGGTTTGTTCATCTTCTTAAAAAAAACCCATTTGATCAATCATAACAAATCTAGGTTCATCAATAAAGATGAACGTGTTGTTTGTTCATCATCATTGTGACACAGTTAAATAAACAAGTTTTACCATAATTACGATAGATAGATATATCAACATAATCTGCATAACATGTTTATTCGAAACAACCAAACACACATCCAAAACAGGTAAAACAATTCTCACATGAACCTGGAAAACATAGATACTAAAGAATCCACAAGCTCCTGAAACAAAACCACCAAGTTTGTTAAAAAAAAACAACAATAAGCCAAGTTTGCAAATCTTCAAATTAAAGTCACTTATTTGTTCTGCATTCACTACAAAATAAGGGGTTAAAACACATTATTTGACACCCTACGTAATCAGATAACCATAGGAAGAAATAGGTTTACCTTGATAAGATTTCCACCCTGATTGTTATCTCCAAGACCTGATGGGGGCTTCTGGTGAAACCAGGCTCTCAACAAAGGTATAAGCTTCATGACATTCATCAATGTTGTGAATCTCTGAGAATGAGAGATTCTTGGAATCATACACAACCAATTTTGCCCCAAATTGCAACAAAACTTTCCCATCGTTTGAAATACACAAAGGCACTGAAAATTGATCCCTCCCAGGATCAGTGAGATATGGGATTGAAACCAATTTAGTCCAAGAATCTTTCACCCCATAAACCTTCATCACCCATACATCTGCACGAATTTTACTATAATCACAAAGCACACACAACGATTCTCCCAAAGCCCCCAATGTCAAATCCTTGTTACCTTCATCATACACAGGTTGCAAAATTTCTCCATATGTCTCCTTTGCTAAATCAAGAGAAATTATCCTCCAAGAATAAAATGACCCAAAATCTTGACTAGCGGCCCAATGAAGAGCTCCATTTGAAAGCTTTCCAGAATCATCCAACGGGATACCATGAGGAAAAGCACCGATGTTCTTCCAATTTCCAAATTTCATTGAGTATATTTTCACTCTTATATTATAATTGCCTCCACTTATGAAAACACAAGATATTCCAACAACTTTGTAATCATCCTTAGACTCATCATACCCAAAACCATATAACACGTAGCTACCCGATCGCACATTGAAACCAACATCTGGTAATCTGTTCGATTTTCGAGTACCAGGGTTCCAAAGAAACAAATCATCGTCCTCAACAGCTATGAATAATAATCCATTGCAAGAACCGGCGATCCAAATTGATTTATAAGGATGTTTCAAAGGATAATCATGCTCTAGGAGATTAACGGATTCAGCATACAGCACATCATAGAGAGGACTGCTCTTGAGATTTATTCTTGGTGAAGTATGTAAAATCAATCGATGATGTGTGTAACGATTGTTGCTAGTTGACAAAGCGAGATGAGATTTGACGAAATGAGAATCCGATATCATAGAGCGCCATAATTTGCAAACGGACTTACATCGCAAGAGTGATTCAACGGGAAGTCTCGAGAGGATTTCAATAATGATCTCAGGCAGAAGGGTAGGAATCGACAGAGGGTCTTCAGACGTTTCTGTAGAGTGCGACGCCTTGATTCTTTTCGGTTGTTGTTGCTGTTCGTCTTCTTCGTCTTCGATTGCTATTTCCATTTTGACTCGCGACCTAGGGACTAGGGTTCTTCGGTGTTTGCTTTGGGGGAAAATATGATCAGTGTCCAGGGGAGACAATATTTGTCGGTAACCTTCGTACGTTACAGTTTATACCCTTATTGTTCAGTGATTATTAAATTTGGTCTTGAAGTTCATATAAGTGTGTACATCTCGTTCCCGAGTTCAACTTAACGAGAGAAAAGAAAAGAAATAGATAGAAGTGGGAGGAAAGTAAAAAAAAAAAATTAGTGTTCCCGAGTTTCATTAAACGAAGGAAGTAGAAGGAAATGAAATGATCACTTTCTCTCTTAACTTTCCTTCCGATTTGAAGAGAAATAACAAAATGTTTAACTTTCATTTCACTTTTCTCCGACTCGGAAATACGAAAGACAAATTTATTTTCCTTTCCTTTCTTTTCTTTTCTCTCATACTTTCTTTTCTCTTTTTTTCTTTTTCTTTGCTAAAATTCGGGTACGAGGTGCTAATGTCACTTGTAATTGTCTGGTTGTTATCCCCCGTTGAGATCATTTTTGTTTGGGAAAATAATTTTGTAGAGTAGTAAATAATTTCGTATGCATTAAGTAATTTTAAAATTTTTGTATGATTTATCATTATATTTATATAGTATTTGTTTAGAACTGGACTTAAGGTTTTATATGATCAACACTACATATTTATGTATGACCTTTATAGCACACAAAAAACAATTTTAATATTATGAGTAAATTACATGAATCATAACTCGGATCGTCCTTTGTTTAATTTAAACTTGCATACTTTATCCATTGTTTGTTTAAATTTGCATAATTCAACATTTTTCTAACGTAAAATGATTATACCGTATTTATTATTTTATTTTGTCTTTATAAGGAAAGCAAAAAATGATATTCTAACCCTTTATTTTCACATTTATTAATACTTTTAAACAAGTAAACCTATCACCCCACCTCATTTACCTAAAAATATCCTAACTTTTCATTCTCAACTCTTCATGGTTCCTCACCTCCTCTTGAAATCAAAATCTGGCCACCGGAGATATAATCACAACTGGAAACCCTCTTGACTGCCGTCACTGACCACACCTCATTTCCCTTCCTCTGTTCACGTCAGAAATAGCATCACCACTGGAAATCTGAACCATTATCGGAAATAGCATCACATGTAATGCTCGTGTTTCTCGCTAGACATTTTGTAAAAGAATTAGTATTTACCTGAGTTGATAAATGTAAATTTTCTTATGAATAAATGAATAGAAATTCTTCAAACATGATATGTGATTATATAAAGGGCATATATATATATATATATATATATATATATATATATATATATATATACATACTAGTCGTTACCCGCGCAAAGCAGCGGCGACGAATAATTTTTTTAGGCGAAGCAAGACACTATAATATGTTTTTTTTTTATTTCAAAACTATCAAAAAAGGCTTTATTTTACGGTCCAAACCATTAGGATGATAAGTAGTGTTTAAAAGTCCAAAAAAGTCAAAAACATATTGTTGGTTGAACTCACAATAGTTGAAAAACATAGTTCTTAACAGTCCAAAATAGTGAAAAAAAATTATGTTTTAGTAGTGAAAATATTAGCAAATAAAAGGAAAAAGTAGTGTATTACGTTTAAATCATCAAAAGAATGACCCATGTTGTGGATTTATTCCATGATGATGTATATAAATATGCTAAATAGGTTATTGTATGACAACTTGAGTTCACCAAGTGAACTTTATTAAACTGTTGCAAAGTTTTATCGCCATTAATACATAAATGCATTGTTTAGGTTTACCAACCACAAATGTTTTGTTCTAAACGACCTGAAAACCCGACTCAAACGTAGAAAGTCAAAACCTTATATTACTTGATCTCATTTTTTTAATTGTCATATATAAAGACTCAGGTAAATGAAAACCAAGGATCATGCCATTTTATAAGGGCTTATTGCATAAACTCAAAACATCCTTAAACATTGTTTTACCTCTTATATAGACTCTAGTTCAATGACTTTTCTGAATTAAAATTAAGAACCAATTTGTTCTCTTTCCATCACCTTCAATTTCCATTACCGGTGATAGACTCCAACCAATAATCCTTTACTCTGCATCCCTATAACATATCCCAAACCCAAAATTAAATAATTTTAAAAGATAAATACAAACTCAAATTAGTTGATCTCATTTAAGAACACTCAAAACTAAAAAAAAAAGCCAAAAAAAATCCAATCCTTTTAAATAATTAAATAACACTCAAATCATGTGAAAGGGCGTGAAATTTACCAAAAAATATGTAAACCTTTTGGATAAGGTTTCATCAGCCAATAAAAATCGATCATACATCTTGCTTCTTGTTATATCTATAAACGCAAACTCCTTCCCATTTGCTTTCAATTTCACCAAAAATTAGTTAACCTAACAACATAAAGATTACAAAACATACAAAACATGGATTTATTTCATAAACATTTAAAGATATTGAGACATTTAAAGGAAAAACTCATAAAATTAGTATACGTAAGTTAAAAATATAGTTTCACATTTGATTATTACCATTCGATTTGCAATTTCCTTTCCAATTTTCCTAACCCTCCATTCATTAGCATCTCGATCAGCTGGCTCATGTTCCCTATATGATTTGATAAAAACTATGTAAGAGTAAAAAAGGCAAATATTAGACATTTAACAAAGACATAAACAATAGATATGTTACCTTGTCATGGTGATGACAGTGAGTGGTGTGAGGTTATGGTGGCAGTGTTAAGTTGCCATGTCATCTAGTGGATGGTCTTCTTTGTTTTACACCAGATCCAGCTTCCAAAAATCAAAATGAATGTGTACTTAGGAGGTGTCAAGGTATATTAGAAACAACAAAAAATAATGGTGGTTGTTGGTGGCTGTCGATTTCTAAATCAAGTGAGAGACAAGGAGAATGAATGCATGATTAAACCATCTCAGCATCAAACATTCCTTAGATGCAATATGTTTTTTCTGAATCCAACAAATCAAAACCCCACCTACATTTTATTAAGCCAAACAAATCAGAGCATTTAAAAGAGACAATCAAACCACATAAAACCTAAGTGTAACTTCCCATGCTTTTCGCCTATTAAGAAAAAGTAAAGTTATCATATCAAAAAAGTTGTTATAAACCATAATGCCAATCTATAGCATATTATACCTTGCAATAAAGGATTGGTGTTCACTTTTGAGCAAGCTTTTATAAGTCTCTAGCTCTTGCATTCTCCTATCTAACTCCAAACTCTGTATGTTGAATCCGCTTCATACATCTTTTCTTCATCCTCTCTAGATTTATCCCCAATTCCAGCTACCACCTAATGTTAATTAACAAGTGTAAAGAAGATGATAAGTATGTTGTCTTAAAGCAGATACCAGTGCAAGAAAACAAAGCGAGAAACTCTTGATAACTCTTGTTGGTAGCAGGGACCCGTTTGAAGAAGATACAACTAATGGCAAAAAAACCAAACCTACCCCATAATTCCTCTCGAGTGATTACACATTACACATTGAATCTTGGATTTCTTGAAACCTGCAACCAAACCAACGCAATTAGGGTTTTAGAGAGAAGATGAGAGAAATCGTTTCCAAAATTTGAATGTCTGATACAAAGAGAGATTTAAAGGAAGAAGAGGATTCAAAATTGGAATGGCGGATGCTAGAGAAATTTAATAGAAGAAGAGGATTCAAGCTTTTAAAACTGAATCGATATGAGGAATTGAACCGAGATTCAGGGGGTGCATGTGGATTTTGGGGAGTTTTCGTGGTAGCGATGATCAACAAAGGTGGAGGGTCTGGTGGTCTTCTTCCAAATATGTAGCTTGAAACTCGAAGATGTTGAGGTGGAGCAGCGAACGACGATGTAGTAGGAGGAACTGGGGTTGTTTTAACATGATGTGCTGAGGTTTCTTGAGAGTGGAGACCAATGACAGATAATATGTGCTGAGGGGGTGAGGGGGAATGTGTCTTCCAGTTTATAGAAACAGAGAATGCCCGGATATGGGGGAAATGACCAGATAAGGGAAGGAACGGGTCAAAATAATAACCATGAGGTGAATTAATAAGCAATAAAGAGGGGCAATAATAGGAAAGATAACAGCTGGAAAGATACGATCCGACTATTTGCGTATAAAATTTATTGTGTATTAAATACTTGTACCTATTGCATTATCAATTGGATTATTTATATTATAATATTAGTATATTAATAGTTTGTTGTACTTTAGGCTTAAAAACTTGAACGTCTTAAATTTATTTTTAGAAATAGTAAAGTTTGTATAATAATATAGTAAGATAGGATAAGATATATATATATATATATATATATATATATATATATATATATATATATATATATATATATATACTAGCCGTTTACCCGCGCCAAGCGACGGGTGCACATAGTTTAATTCGACAATTATTTTCATTCGGAAACATGTTATATTCCAAGGAACACAAGTTACTTTTCTACAAATCCTTTCCTTTCGTGTTTATTGTTTATAAATAAATGAAACAGTCAAGTTCTCTCCCGAAGTATAAATTAAGAATCGAACTTTCGGAATCATATCTTATTTCAGAAAACAAACAATGTATCGGAAAATAACATTAATATTATTGTATAAATCTATATTGTAAGTTGTTGGGTTCGGTTAAAAATAAAAATATGTAAAGACACTAACAGTATTACAGATGACATGGTTGTTATTAAACATAAAATATCCTTTTTATATATTCGTATATGAATTTATTTATATATTCGTACATAAAGTGTCTTTTTTACTTATTTCGGTTGGGTATGCTTCTGTATAGATCTTGTTCTACTGTATATTTAAAAAATCTATTGGTAAGAGAGGTACGATTGCTAATAAGAAAACGATATGAAACATATAAAAATGATCAGATTTAAAAAATGTTTTAATTTTCAACTAAACGGTGATAACAAAAATCACAAGGAGCATTTTATAGATTACTCTAGATGAA